AGACCAACATCTGAAACAACTGGCACAGTACCTGAGCACATAGCAGATTTTCAATAAATGGTAGCTAACATAATTACTTATTAACCACTTCCAGACTTGTTTCAAAACTAAATGTTGACCACTGAGCTTGGTTATGTATTCTTCATTTTTTCTGGAGACCTACACTCCTTCTATCATTACCTCTTAAGTTTATATCCATCTTCTTTCCCTAACTACATCAAAAGTTCTGAGGGCCAGTCTTACTTCTTTTATGAATCTTTCAGAGACCCTACCACAGTGTGACCTTGACGTCTGCCAGCAAGGCCTCACTTGTTCACCAGAAAACATCTGCAATTCAGACCAAAAAATTGAAAAACTAATCAAAAACCTGGTTTGGATACTATCGCCTCAATTCTACCAGTTTTAATTATGTTGAACGAAAAAAGAATAAGCTACTGAGGAACAAATGTCACAGCCTAGTTTTCATGTCACTGATTCACATAGTGGCATCTTGTTATAACTATTTCCTATTACAGATTAAGGCCCTTTATCCACTACTCCTTGAAAATCAATTAACTGTTACAAATACCTATCAGAACATATCCAAATTTAATCCAAACAACCCAAAGAAACAATGTCATATGTTCTGCACTTTTACAGGCATTATAAAAATAGATGTAGAACTTCTTGCTATAAGGATAATTTTTGTGCTTTTTAAATGTTCCTTGCTAGATAAAACGGATTTTTTAAAACATAATGCAGACCTGGTCCAAGCAATTTCACCATTTTAAGTCAACAAACATTTCTAAATTCTTAACTTTATTCCATGCAAAAACCTATTTAATGCCTGAAGTAATAGGCTGTTTCTTTCTGGGCTTTTGTAAAGGGAAATAATAACCATTAAAATGTTACTCACAGGATTGTACTGAAGAGCAGAGACGTAAGCTTGAACTGCCCCTTCCATGTCACCTGCTGCTACCAATGCGGCTGCCAGGTTAATATAACCATCGATGAAATCTGGTTTGAGACGCAATGCATGCCGGTAATGCTCAATTGCTTCCTGCAACTGCCCTCTTTCCTTGTACACATTCCCCAAATTCGAATAGGCTTCTGCCAGAAGGGGGTTCTGTTTAATTGCCAGAGTGCTAAAGTGAGCAGATCTGGAAAAAGCGGAAAGTGTTGATACATGGGTACGCATGTTACAGAGAGAAGGTATGGCCCATACGCAACTCAGTTTCTGAAGTTCCTGCGCTATTATTGCTAACTACAGGACATTATCTTTTAACCACTGTATGGTAGGAAAAATTTTGGAAATCAAACTTTTCCAAAAGTAGAGGTATCCCAGATTTCAAATTGGAATGCTTTTTTCTTATGAGATAAAATTCTTGCTAAAGTCTTCTTACCAAACTGCCACATTGTAAGACATGAACACTAAGATCAAGAATGAAAATGCTATGTGCATGACCCTCACTTTCCATTTGTTGATAAAAGGTAATGACACTCATCTTTAAATGTCTAAATAAGCCAGAATGGCAATTTATTAAGAGGATAAGAACACAGATTCTTCCCTTTTGATTAATTCAACTGATTAGCTAACAGTAGCATATCAGAAGGATTTGTGCATTTGCAACTTGAACCACATATGCACCTCCTACCACAGCAATATACACCATCATTTCTGAGCATTTCCATTCCTCAAACTGACACATCTTACAAAGGTGAGACAGGATGCTCAGACGGAATAAATTATTCTTAGTATACCTGAACAGAGTTAAGAAGGCAGATGTAGGTGGAAAAATCTAGAAAAGGTCCCTAGTCATACTGATAATACAAACACCACCACAAAAGAAAGGAGAAAAACTGGCAGCTGGGCATGTCCCAAGTGGGCAAAAGAGCAGATGTGCGTTGGTGGCTTAGTTGAAACCCAGTACTGGAAAAATTTCAAATTCAAATATTTAAGTATCATTTTTTTAAGCTCAGCACCCAGAGGCAGCAATCACCAGCAGGTACCCCCACATCTCCTACCTGTCCAGCCTTCGACACTGGAAGTGTATAGATGAAAGTAATAAAAGCACACCAGTATTGTCTGGCTCTTGTCTCCAGAGCTGCATGCAGTGTCTCTCAGCTGCCTCAAAATCTCCTGCCTGATATTCTCGATGTGCCAACTCAGCTAACCCTTGGAAGGAAAGCATACGTTTCGTTGGTTCTGGAGAATCATCAAAACATTTGAGGGAAGGAGGGGGGAAAACAAAAAGTTAGAAATGCAAACAAAAAAATGTAAAAATATGGTATATTAAACTCAAAGATGAAAACGCTTGAAACTATGTAAAGCACTAGAGTGAGTGTTCTGCACGTTATTTATACCTCCAAGTTAACATCAGGTGCAGAATTGGCATTTTTAGAATTCACCATTAACTTTTCTTTCCTAGACCAGATAGAAACATTTACTTCCAAATAAGATTACATTTTGTGAACAAAAATACTTTGTACTTTTAAATCATAAATCAGAGGTAGCATCTAAAGAGTCACCAAACATTATTCCCTATACTTTAGTTAACATACAGAAACAAAACATACAACGTGATTTGCAAGGTCACAAAGATTTAAACATCAGAATAACCTACTGGAAAGTAATACTCTGTCCCATGTTTCAGGTTGGATTGGGGGGGTGGATATTGGTAACAATCTCTCTCTTCATGGGAGTGGGAGCACGGGTGTGTTTTTAACTCTTGAAATGTTTGCAGATTTCTCAACTTAGTTTTTTGTTAAGGGATACACTAGAAACCAGCACAGGAAGGGGAAAACACTAAGTCAAGGTGCTATTTTTAAAACAGCTGATAAACAAGATGAATTAGTCTCTCAGGAGCCAAAATATTTAAAGGGGTCATCAAACGTTCTAAGTAAAGACCCAAGATTATATTGCTCCTCTATTATCCCAAGTTCACAATGGAGACCAAATTAGCTAAATCCCACCCACGCTGGTTCAAGACTAGCATTTTCCAAGAGCTCTGACACTGACTAGAGGATTAAGACATTGCAAACAACCCTATATAAACCAAGCAGTTACCTACAACTGCAATGATTTTGAGGAGGAATGGGGAAATGCTCAAATATAAGACCATTCGATAAAGTGGGACAGAATGAATAACAAGTGAAAGCACTTTGCTCCGTGTGACTTAATTCAGATACATAAAGATACACAGTATAGCTAAAGCCCAGAGAGGGGGAGAAAAACAACCACAGACTAAGTCTCAACTGTAAACACTTACTTAAACAATGATACATTACTAGGAATTTGATCATAGCACTTGCATTAGGTGGTTGGAATGGGAAACCATGTACAAATTATTTAAATTCTACCAAGGTCACAGTGACAAGCTCCAATTTGAGCCCTGCTCCCCAACCGTTACGTAGCTGGGAAGTGATCCGTATACTCAGGAAAGCAAAGTAAATTTCCTGACAGAACGTAAAGCTGACCACTACAGAAGCGCAGAGACTTGCATCCAAATCTGGGTGAGGTGGTATCTCAAGTAGAAACTGGTGAATTAATTACATTTTAGACAAATCTCTGTAATTTCCTAGCTCCTCATTTTAAGACACTATCAACTTTTCAAAGCCCCTTAACTGCTAATATTAATACTTGAAATGACAACTTCCTCAAACAAAATAACACACAGAAAAGGGCAAGGTAGTACAGAATCTTACATCTTTAAGAATCTGTGGAAGGAAGGGGAACACTAATTATTAAATCCCACTACCCACAATCTCACGGATTAAGATGCAACGGAAGATTCGCCTATTAATTCCTGCACAATGTCCGAAAATAATAAAAGCCTTGAAACATCTCAACTGAGAAACAACAACAAAATAACCTCGTGGGAAACCTTAGAACCGCAGCCCAGTTCCCCCCCCCCCTTCCGCCCCAAATAGCCTCAATATGGAAAGGCAGCTGAAGGACACTCCTATAATTTGGTTCTCGTATTTTTAGTACTGAATGCTCTCGACTGAATTGTCTAAAAGGGCAACCGCCTTGCACTTGTGCAGCTACACTCCAGTTGCTTTACAAACTCTTCAAGCAAGGATGAAAACTTAAAAAAATACACACCCTATGAATAAAGAGACACTAAGCTAAAGAATGGGGATGGAAGACCCAGAGGCAGCGGCGGAGGAATACAGGGAGAAAGTAACACAAAGCAGGAACTCGGCGGGCAGGGTGGTCAACGCCAAAGCACCAGCACCAGGGTGGTTTCTCCCCAAGGATAGGAAGTGGACCGCAGGGCTGGCAACCTCGCGAAGGAAAGGGTGTGGTTCCCCGCGGGAGGGGAGGGAAGACGGGATGGGAAATCCAGGCTGGGGGCAGCGGGTGGAATTGGGCGATGGCAAAAGGAACCCCTGGAAATTTCCAATCTTCAACCGGGGCCGCTCGACCGAAACAACACCAGAAAGGCGCTGCCCAGCGGGGTGCTGCTCAGTAGCCCCTCTTCTCGAGATTACTTACAGCACACCAAGGAGCTTTTTTGCTCGTCCTCGGGTGATGCAAAGTGAGGACATGATTACATCGGAATGGCACCCCCGCCCTAGACTGACAGAGAAGCACCAAATCTGGCTAAGGGGAAAGGGCTGGAGGGGGGTCGGGAGAGGGGAGAGGAGGGGGCAGTGGGCTGAATTAGGAGAGAAAACGACTGCGAAGGAGAGCGAAAGGGCAGGGATTCCAATGCAGTCCATTCCGAGACATTCTAAGCGCGCACGTGTGGTAGAGGCGTCCCGAGAGAGTCGGAAGCTAGAAAACTGATGGGATTAAAAAAGCAAAAATGGAAGCAGAAAGCAAGCAAGAAAAGAGGAAATGTTCGAGGAGCGGACGACAGCGGAAAACCCGAACAGATGCCGGTAGACGACGAAAAGCTCAGCAATGCCACTGATGTAATGGGGATGGCTAGGGGGGAAGGAAGGGAGTGATGAGAGGTAGAGGACGGCGCGAGACCCCGACGGGGCGTCTGCCAAGGTAGAACGGACACCGGTACCTGTGCTGTCGGCCACGTTGCCCACGGAAGACGCCATCTGGAGCTTCTTGAGGGAGAACGAGAGGAGGGTAATTGACCCGCTGCCGCCACTACTGGCAAGAATGTTTCTAGAGGTAGTAGTAAGAGGATGGCAGCCGTAGCAGTGTTTTGGCAGGCTTAAGCGGCGGCAGCAGTTACAGGCTTCGAACCTTAGGAACTCTGGCTGGCCATCTACCTCTCACGGTCTTGAAATGGCGGCGACGGCTCCTCGGCCGAAACAACACGGGCCGGAACTACTTTCTGTTACAATCAAGTACCAGCGCGGAGGTAGCGCGGTAACCAGAGCTACCGACAAAATGACTATAATCAAAGTCGCCAGCTCTTCTGTAACCTTCCGCCCAGGGCTCATTGCGACAAACATGATTGTGATGAGAGCGCATGCGAGCAACCCTGTCAACCCTACTCGCGCTTAGGGCACTGGCTGGGGCAGGAGCGGCGAAGTTTTTCAATAGCGAAGCGGAGGGTTAAAAAGAAAGCCGTCTATACGACGGGTACATTTTTGTCGGAGTTGTACGGTCTATTACCCAGCCGGTAATGGAGATTTTTAGTGCCGATGCCAGAGGCGTCTAAAAAATTCCGTCAACTTTATTCGTGTAAAAATTGATAGTTACAATGTGGTCGATGGATCAATCTGAGCAAGTGAATGTAAATGTTTATATTTCCAAGACCGAGCTGTTGTTCAAAACGATGGCGGAGAGGGTTAGAATTTGAACGAGTCTCAATTCTGATTCCACCCACTGATTTAAGCACTTTGGATGAAAAACACTGATACTTTCACCGGGCCAAATGAACCCGAACATCTCAGATCGTAGCCATATAGTCCGAAATTTCAAAATCGTTCTGGTGTTCAGCATTGTTCTGCCCACAGTCCTAGGGCAAAATGCTTCATGCTGAGAGTTTGCATTCCAAAGGCAACCATAAAAATGTTAAAGATGATTCATCTTCGTCAAAATCCTTGACTCTCTTCTGAGTTGTAACTTCGCTTCCCTCAGATAGCTCTGCAGATCCTAACAATCGATGATTCCATTTAGCTCAAGGCAGTTCAACAATGACAGATGAATTCACTTGCCATCTACCTAAAACCACACATCCAGATTGAGTCTGATTTGCCTCCACTTCCCTGAACAAATCAACTCTTGTGATCGTCCTGTAGTTTGAAGTCCATTGTTCGGATATTTTGTAACACAGGTATTAATTTATATCTCCTTGTAGAAAGGATTTAAGGTAACTTGCCACGTCAGCAAGAAATTTTTATAAGCCCATGGAGGCAACAGGTTGGATCTCTCAGAGCCTTTTTATTTCAAAAAGTCATCCTTGATCTAAGAAAACAGGTCAGTGCATTTCTTCAAAACGTTTCTACTACCTTGCCACTTGACTACATTAAAGAAAAACAAAAACAAAAACCCTAAGCCCTGGAGTTCTGCTTCAATTTCTTAACAGTTCACAAACTGTTAATTACGGGTATGAGCACAGAGAAAATTCCTGTTGATAATTTCTCCCATCACATCTGATGATTAATAGTCACATGCAATGAAAAAGACAAAGTTCACTCCACAGACTCTCTCTGGAAATTGGGTACCAACCTCTTCTCTCAGATTGATTTAACTGGGAAGACCTTTTCGCCCCCTTCTCATTACAGGTGCCCCATCTGTGGCAAATAAACTCAGCTTTTCAGCTTTTAGAACAGACGTCTCAGATTCCACTGGCAGATGTTTAGGCCTCACTGATTAGCCGGTGCTAGCTAATTAAGTAAAACTCTTTTTGTTGTTCAATGTCAGGTCATGTTCCCTGTCAGGCCGGCTATTGGGCATATCCCTACTTGTGGTCTAAGTTTCCTTATCCGGAGAGAGAAGAGTCAGGGGATATTGTGATACATTTTACTGCTGTGAGAAGCTGGATGGTGAGGCTCACAGTGGTTCAATCAGGAAGAACACCAGCTGAAGGCTCAAGACCCCCTCCAGGTACCTTCCAGGCATAGCACCTGGAAGGTTTAGTGTGAAGGACTTACTCATTGGACAAACACACCTTCTTTGTCCAGTCAGGTAACATTTACTAGCACATCCCTTTGTGCAAGGCACGGTGGGGGACACAGAAATCAACAAGATGAGATCTTTGCCCCCAAGGAACTTGAAGCCCAGTTAGGTAGACACAAAAAGCCCCTGGAGCATAAAACAGAAGAGTATTATTTAGGCGATAAAATACATTAAGGTCTATAAATATCTGGGGAGGGAACAGTCACTTCAGGCTGGAGGCCCGACCTGGGCATGGAAGAGGGGGCTTTTGTGTATTCTCTTTCACCCTGACTTCTGTTTTTGTTTTTGTTTTTTTTTTCCACTCCCTTTCATGTGCAGCGATTCTAAATTCAGAATCATCTGAAATAAATCAGCCCCGTCTTCCACCCCCAACCCCAAACTTTCCCTGCGTGCCAACATCACTAGTGGCGTATTAGGTTTTGGTTACCGTGCCGCAAAGAGCCACAAATTTCGCGGCTTACAACGGCACGCATTTCGCAGCCCTGGCGCGGGCTTTGGGTGACGGAGCGGGAGTCACGATCTGGCCGCTGTCGCCGCCCGCCGCTCACCACCCGCCGCCGCTGGAAAATGGCTCCAAGGGTTAAAGGAAGCTGGAGAAACACACATGGAGAGATGTAGCACCGCAGGCGTCTCCAGATGTTCGGGAATAACATTCCAGAGAGAGATTGAGCCCCTGGGGATTAGAGGACTAGTCATCACGAAGAAAAGTAGTCTTAAAACCTTCCAGAAATCTTTGAACCTGAATCAAAGTAAACGAGACACTGACTTCATGGTAGGACAATAACCATCCCTAGCCAGTGTTTGGAAACCACCATTCCTTATTTGGTAGCTGCTAAGGTAGAGATATGACCGGCTGTGCTATCCCCAGGGGAGGAAAAAAGGGGGGGGGGGGGGGAAAGAGATCAGAGTCAAAGCTTAATGGGTACATGAAAAGGGCTGCTTTCTGCAGAACAAAAGCAGAAAGACAAGGGGAGCACACCCTCTGGGAGCTCTGCCAGATGAGGATACCTTTTCCTCTCTTCAGCGCCCATAGTCTTTAAAGATGTGAGAGCTCAAAGACCAACGAGGTCCACTGCCCTTAGCAATCATCACTATAGTCCTACCCTGTGGCCTCTTGACCCACGAACTCTGAGGAGAGGGATATCAAAATGGAGGAGGCGAGAGTCACAGCTTTGGTTCCTTCTTCCAATCCATGTCCAGCACGGAATGATGTTTGAAAAGATTTTCACAGTTTTCAGCCTGGCACCACATGCCAAGAACAAAATAATTCATAAAGGAGTTCAGAATCCCCGAATGGAGACTTGCAACATCACCTCAATGAAAATGTGTCCGTAGTTAGTGGACACACACCTCAATACTGCATTTGGTATTCTGGATCCTTCCAAAGGTGAAAGGATCATCTAGCTATTGTCTGGTTAGTTCTTCTCCCATGGAAGTTTCTGCAGTTCCTGCTCTCTCGCTCTTTTTTATTTTTTTATTTTATTTATTTATTTATTTTTTTTTTTAAGATTCCATCCATTTATTTGACAGAGAGATAGAGAGCACAAGTAGGCAGAGTGGCAGGCAGAGGGAGAGGGAGAAGCAGGCTCTCCGCCGAACAGGGAGCCGGACATGGGGCTCGATCCCAGGACCCCGGGACCATGACCCGAGCCGAAGGCAGCCGCCTAACCGACTGAGCCACCCAGGCGCCCCTCTTTTTTATTTTTTTAAGATTTTATTTATTTATTTGAGAGAGAGAGAGTACAAGCAGGGGGGGAGGCAAAGGGAGAGGGAGAAGCAGACTCCCCGCTTAGCCAGGAGCCCGACATGGGGCTGGATCCCAGGACCTGGAGATCATGACCCGAGCCGAAGGCAGACACTTAACCATCTGAGCCACCCAGGTGCCCCTCTGCAGTTCCTTCTCAAGTGGGGGTGGGGGGGGACTCTTTCTCTGAAAATGGAAGTCAGGTAGACCAGAGCCCTACAGTCATTGCCCCAGAGATCTTTGTGGATCAGTCTGTGAATGGCTTGTTGACACCATAGGCATCACATTGCCGAGCCCACGAGCAAGACATGATGATATCCCCCCAGGCTCACCATTGCTACCTCCAATGCAGAATAATCAAATCCAAAGGAACTTCAGCAGACTCACCGGCACAGATGTCCTTGTGTCTAAAATTATGTGCTATCACAGCGCCTGGGTGGCTCAATCGGTTAAGCATCTGCCTTCAGCTCAGGTCATGATCTCAGGGTCCTGGGTTCAAGCCCTGCGTCAGGCTTCCTGCTCAGCGGGAAGTCTGCTTCTCCCTCTCCCTCTGCCACTCCCCGCACCTGTGCACACACTCTCTCTCTCAAATAAATAAAAAAAATCTTTAATAAAATAAAATTATGTGCTACCATTTGAATTTTGATCCTGACCCTGCTCCTGGGATTGCAAGAGTTTATGACTCAATGAAAAGTAGTGGTCTGATGGTTGTTACAAGCCTTACAGAGTTGCTGGAAAAAAAAAAAAAAAACTTGTGAAATAAAGATGGTACTGGGAACCAGTCACATGCTGGGAGGCAGAAGGGAATCTAGTAAATGTGCCAGATGGTTCTTTTCTTGTTCTGGATAGTTCTGATGACTGTTACCTTTTAAGCTCGAGCTTTCGCTCCCATGGTAAAAACACTTCACACTAGAATTGAGCACTCAAACAGTAGGTTTCTCTTTGATGAACAACCAGATGTGTGGATGGACAATTCCTGATCTAATTAAACATTCAACCAGGGACTCTGAAACGGAGCTTTGTCTTATTCAGGGCCTTCGTTGCCTGAATCTGCAATTCACCCCGTCAGACTTACCAGTTGAGTATCATGATTCATGCAGGTGCGTTCTTTGTAATACCTGTCTCATTTTGTTATGTTTCTGTATACCAGAATAGACTTAATTCAAAAACTGCCTTTGCCAAACAAAGTGAAGGATTAGTGACAGGAGAAGTATTCATGAAAATGAGGAGAACCCTGCATCTTGCACTTTGAGTTCAAGAAAAAAAAATTGAAATCCAGTTTACAAACTTTCATTGCTATTAAAATCTTTTGCTGCTACAACTCTCAGAGTTTGTGATTTTTTTAAGATTTTTATTTATTTATTTGACAAAGAGAGACACAGCGAGAGAGGGAGCACAAGCAGGGGGAGTGGGAGAGGGAGAAGCAGGCTCCCCGTCGAG